CCCGGGCTGGGGATTCGAACCTGCCACCTTAGGTGTATGTGGCTGGCGCCTTAGCCGCTTGAGCCACAGGCGCCAAGCCCCTCTAATAGTTTTTAAAAGTAGTTTTTAAACACATATCTAAGTAAACTGAGTCAAATGCAATTTTTGATAAAATAATTATGTTTATTTGAATACAGCATTAAAGAACTTATAGTGCTATTTACATAAGATAGTTTCAGTGTACCTCAACTTTGGGGACACCTGCATTTTTATAAAGTAAACATGAAACAAAGTTTATTGAGAAAGAAAAAAGGTTTACAGAGTAAGAGATATATAGGCGCCCAGCACAACACCTGGTTTACAAAGCCAGATGCATTCGCCATAGACAGTGAACAGGCCCCGCTGGTGTGACAAAGAAAAGGACCAGAGTCCTGGTTTAATTAACCTCAAAGTTCCAGGATTTTCACAGTTTACCACTAGCATTTCAATTGAGTCTAAACTAATGCATAGAAGGGAAATAATTTTGATTAGTCATAAACTTCTTACTCTTGACATCAAGAGTTTTGTAACCATAGATCAAAATCTAAATATCAAAGACAGCTCTGTGTGAATGATACACAATCCACAAATTAATTTATATGGTAACAATTTTAAATGCTCTTCAACTTACAAAAAGTAAGTTATTTTCTTATCTACACCTCACTTCCCTTACCTGTAACATTTATCTAAGGGCAACCATCTTTTAAGTTCTTTTAAAATTCCCAATATATGCTATTATTATCAGTAATGTTTCTAAAATTTTAATCTTACTTTTGGGAGTACAGAATTGCTGTTTTATACAAAGTATATCATTGTTACAAGCCCAGCCTAGCCCACAAAGCCATGTGTAAATGAACCACTGGAGAGTTCAGTGTGCCTACAAGGCTCTGAACTGTATCTTTTCACACCTGGGCATCCCCCCCTTACCATTTGGAGCCACATCGGAATCTTGGAAACAGATTGGAGAGCCGTATGTGCCTCTCCATATTCCACAGCAAGCTACAATAGCATTGGAGGCCTCCCTCACCTCCAGTGTAGAAAGCAGAGCGTTGCCACTGCCTCTGCGCTGATGCTGGGATGCTCCCTTGGTAGCTCCATCCCACTCAGCTGGTTAGGTGACATCTTGAGAACGATGCCTTAAGGACTGTATAGGTTTCCAGTAGAAGGGAAATTCCATTTATAAGATATTATTCAAATAGGAGAAGACATTAGCTGTGCAGGAATATTGTAATGCCCACCCATAGACAAGGCTGTTTTACAGTTAGTTTTATATAAAAATGAGAATGTATTGGTTTTGTGAATTCTTCCCCTCAAACAAAAAACGGATGACTTTTTATTATTTAAGAATAACTCTCGCATGTGCCTCAGCATGTAAGATGGTGTGAGGCCTGGGGCAGTCATGCCTGTAATCCTTATACTCTGGGGAGGCCTATGCAGGTGGATCAGTTGAGCTCAGTTAAGGCCTATGCAGGTGGATCAGTTAA